AAACTAAGTAATTTCAATAAATTTCTATTGAAAACAAATTAAAATACTATATTTTTGAAGCATATATTAAACTATTTTTTGTCTTTCTTGTAGTGTTTCATTGAAATGATATAGTTTCATAATAATTTTTCTTTTAATTTTTAAGGAATAAGATAGATAAATACTAATCTCATTGAAAAAAATTAAATTAACATTATGTTAACAAACAATAAAAAAACAAGTCATATATAATTACAAACTAATTACTAATTTTTAATTGTGATTGTGTCAAATTACCAATATGATTCTCACTACAACTTTGTGTTGCCAGGTGCCTTTCATTGTTATTATTACTTTTGAACCTCGGAAAATTTAGGGAAAAGGGAATGAAACACAAATAGTAGGAGTAAAACCATGGTCATGGCCATTGATAGGTGCACCTCTACCATTGCAACTATAGTTGTAGATGCAAGTTGTTTAATTTTTAAACTAGAGAAATACTTCTTTTGAATTTGAATCACCAAAATATGAATGTTTGGGTAACAAAAATGATAAAATTCAATCCATTTAAAAGTTAAGGGAATAAATTGATTCATAATCTAGATAAAAAAAATTTAAAGACAACTTTTATAAAACTTTATATATCATTCACCAATGATTAACTTTATTTACTTTCTTAAAAGCCTTGATCTTATATACATTCACTTATATAATGACATATGTAAATTATAAATAAAAATTACATAAATAAATTCTCTATTTTATTTTTCTTTATAATATGTTTGGATTGAGAGAAATAAAAAGGAAAAAAATCTTTATTTTATTATAAAAAACTTAGAGGGGAAACGAAGGGAAAATTTTCTTTTACTTTATTTTTTCTTTTAATTTAATTACTCATCCAAAATGAGAGAAAAGAAAGGGAGAAGAATGAAAGGAAATGAAAGGATATAGGTCCCCTCAAGCTAAATATAGTGTTAAGAATTAGGTAAAGTCATTCTTCAAATGAAGGTTACATACAAATTACACTCAAGCATTCCCAAAGAGTACATTTATTATATCAACTATTGCAAATAAAACAGTTATTACCATTAGTATCATTTTGTTTTCAAAATTTATATCTTTAATCTCTTCTTTCTCAATTCTCACTCTTTTTATTATGTTCTCAACCGAAGTTTGTTTTTCTTTTTCATATAGTGAAAGCTATAACAGGAACGAAAATAAGTTCACACGCAACTCTATTTGGACCAAATCGAATCTTATGCGAAGAAGAAGAATAGAATCAAATGGACCCAACTTTTAGTCTTTGGAGGTTGAGGACCTTATTGTTGAC